GTTATAGTTGCTGTTGTTGGGGGTTTAGAGTTAGTCTGGTGAGATTCTGTCTCTTAGGTGCAAGCTAATAAAGAAACTGAGCTGATTTCCGGACTCTTGTGTGATTCTTGGGCTGAACCTGACAGATACTAGCTAAAAGTGTACATCCACAATGTATGTAATAAACTGCAATGTTACTAATATTAGCTGGGAGATATTACTAGGTGTAATATCTCAAGACTAATAGTAATGCTTCAGATCTTGGATTTGGCTTTCTATCTAGAGAAATGTCAGTCTGTAATTTCTTTCAGGAGAAACTACTGTGAATAATTACTCTAGGGTATGATCCTTAATAGCAGTAGTGTTTAACACTGAGTATTTTTTTTTAACAGAGAGTAATTGCATCACCTTTACTACTTGATGATTTACCAAGAAAGGAAGCACACTGTTAAAACCACATTGAGTGTAGAAGAAAGTATAAACATGATAGATTTTTCTAAAGTGTTATAAAAGATTTGTAAAGAGGTTTATTCTGTATTTCATTCTATTTAGGTTTCACCCTTTATTTAAACAACAGTTTATTCTTGTGTCACCTGTCAGTGTGCTCTACCTTATCACACTCAGCCCAGTTCTGTTTCTCACTATCTTGAAGTTTAGTCGTGTCTGATCACTGGCTGGATGCTGTAATCATCTGGGTAAAGGCCAGCATATTAAAGATAAATCTCCACAAGACACTTTGGATTAGTGGTTCCCAGATCCACTAATATGATAAGGGTGTGAATGACTGTCTTCAGTGCATCCTCTTTCAGGTAAGGTCACAACTGACATACCGGCTAAAGCTGAATAAAGAACACCTAGCAATGGCCTCTGCCTGCTCCTCTAGCAGGAGATGCAAGTCCAGGAGGACCTCCAGATTGGCAGCCTGCTGTGTCTGGGAAAGTAGAACCTCATCAAGGGTCAAATATAGTATAGTTTTGGATGATATAGTCCTGGAATCAGTGGCTTTTGAATTAACAGCTACTCCATCTTGCTTTGGTTTTTCCCTATTCAGATCCTGATCAGGTCAGGACATCTACTGCATTTTCCATAAAGTGGATACAGAACTGATTGAATAATCATACTCCCGAAATATATTTTAGTGTGTTCTAAAATATATTTATTTTAGCCCTGTGTGATATGTTGAGTGGCATACTGAAGGGCTCCCTTTTAGGCTTCACACTATTCAGTTTCATTATAAATCATGGATGAGAGGTGAAAAATAAATTTGCAGATGACACAAAGATGAAGGTGGATAGCAGAACAGTATCAAAATTCAGGAGGTGTTAAGCTGGAGCAATGGACAGAAACTAGTAAGATGAGCTTTATTTTATTTACTTAGGCTTACAGACTGTCAGCTCTGAGATAAGCTAGGTTAGGAAATAGACATCACAAGGACTATTGGAACTGTTGTTGTAGGGAATAATAACAGAATCTTGAAATGTGGAGTTCTTGGTGCTCTTTGAGCTTGGTTGTTTGCTTGCAGACATTTCATTGCCCAACTAGGTAATACCATCAATGTGAGTCTTGAAATTTTGAAAGCCTGCCATGATTTCTTTCTGCCCCCTGTATGCCACATAGAATCAAAGCAGGGCTAGTTTGAATCTCTTTTTCATACTCGCACCTTTCCCAAGGCTGTGATGTTATTTACTGTCTCTTTTATTTGTTAATGATTCTTGCACTTCTTTGCCAACATTATCTCTGTCTTGCTTTACATAGACTTTCAGTTGAGACAAATACAGAGTCCTCCTTTTGGGTAGGAAAAGTCAAAGGCATAAGTATAGGATGTGCGGGAAACTATACTAGGGAGTAGTACATACAGAAAGGGATTGGATATCTTGGTTACAAGATAACATGAGTCAACTTTGGGATACAACTGCAAAAAAAAAAAAAAGGAAATTCAGTCCTACATTGCAATAGCAGAAGTCTACAGCCACTCCTTGTTTAGTGACTACCTTGTTTGGTGACTATTTGCAAATATGAGTAATATTAATTTTTTAAAGAATCATTTTCCAATCATTGGTGCACTTACAACCAGATTTCTACACCTGACAACAACACATGCCAGAGTGAGAGTAACGGTGGTGTTGCTGCATGAGAGAACTTTATCTAAATGAGACGGCAGCAACCAGTGATCTTTGCAGCATATCTCAGTCACTTGGTTTGCTTAGTGACCATTTTGCTTAGTGAGCATTTCACTTCCAATTTAGGGAATGAATTGCAGTTGCTAAACGAGAGGGTGTAGTGTCAAGATCAAGTCATCATACCTTTCTGTTCTCCATTGGTCAGACCACATGTAGAATATTGTATCCAGTTCTGAGCACCACACCTTAGACAAGATACTGACAAACTGCAGTGTGTCCAGAGAAGAGCAATCAAGATGAAAAGTAGCATGGAAGAAAAAAATTACAAAAAAATTATGAAGTGGGGGTGTTGGGTATGGTTAGGCTGGAAAAGAGAACTTCAGGGAAACATGTCTTCCAATATCTGAAGGAGTTTATATAGAAAACAGACAGAATTGCATTACAGGGAAGTAGTTTTTAGTTGGCTATCAAGAAGACTTCTGTAACAGTAAGAACTGCTTAACAGTAGAACAGGATACTTTGGAAAATGATGGATTCTCTCTCTCTGGAGGTGTTTAAACAGAGGCTAGATGGCCATCTATCAGGGATGCTGCAGTAGTGGATTCTTGCACTGTGCAGTAAGTTGGACTAGGTGATTTCCATGATCCTTTCCAGCCATTGTATTTTTCTATGAAATACATGCCCTTTATGAGGGTTATTATTCTTATTATGCACCAGCAGGTAAGGAATATGGGAACCTTGCTCAGCAGGCCTCTCTCAGTGGGTACAGTGCTGTAAATCAAATTCAGCTTTTGAACTTTTGACATAATTTTCTACATCTGTATCTAGGAGTGTTACTGGCATAAAATACCTGATGTGTTAATCTGCATAAATTTTGCAAATTAAGGAGACCTGTCTTTAAGCCTCTTTGTATATCTAAACTTTTTAATGATAGCCAAGATTGCAGATTTGTACTCTTGTCTGCATACCAACAGTATGATACCCCACTAGATTTCTAAATATTGGAAAACCTTGCAGTTTTAGCGTGGTCACTACCAGTGGCTAGAATAATAGAAATTTGCTGATCTTTCTTTGACTATATATGGTCTTTTATTGGCATAAATGTAAAATCTAGAGAGATTTAAATATAATTTAGTTTAAATAATGACTTCGGTATGCCTAACCATGTGTAGCCTGTAGTGTGTGTGCGTGTTTTCATAATTTCAGCTTATTTCCTATGAAACTAAGCAATATGAGTGCAGAAGAGGTTATTTTCAAAAGTTATGAAATGATACATTTGGTGGTCTTAAAGTGTTTGATAAAAATTATAGAATAACAGTAAGAAACTATTACAAACATGTATATCAGCACACTAACATGAAGGTTTTTTTCCTTTATAGTTTGTGAAATGTGGATATGCAGGATCCAATTTTCCAGAACATATCTTCCCTGCATTGGTTGGAAGACCAATTATTCGTTCAACTGCCAAAGTGGGAAACATTGAAATCAAGGTAATACTTAAGAAACTGGATTCCTTGCATGGTAATTTGGGATGTTTCTCCCTTCCTCAGAATAATTGCTTCTGAGACATTATGTGATGATCAAGTAATTCACCAAAGTTATTAATTTGCAAAAAGTGCTGGCATATTGGTAGAAGAAATACAGGATGTGGCATTTTTTGCTGGGTCTGTAGGAGGGGAGGCTCCTTTCCTCTAGTAACTTGTTATTTCACTTGAGTGAAAAAGAAGAAAAGTCCCACGGTATTGTTTATTTATGTACCCTCATGAAATCTTTCACCAATATTAGCTCCCTCATTTTTCTTCATAAGGTATACCCTGAGCTCCATTCCTACATGTTGCCCTATGAATTACGTTCATGGAATGTATTCTGCTTTGAACAATATGGCAAAAGCAACAACCTCCTATTCCTCTTTAAGTAAATAAGAGTAAGAGAATTAGAGTTTGTCTATGAGCCTAAATAAATAAATAGTTTAGGTTCTGTACCTTCTTTCACTTTGTTCTGTGAGAGAGAGGTCCATAAGAGAATATCTCACCCTCCAATTGTTAGCCTTGACCAATAGAGTAACCCATAGGAATGAGAAATTAGCTGAATAGATTGAAGCAATGCACAACATTTCCTTCTCCAAGCTTCTCTTGACCTGTGTGCTCTGTACCTGTCTCTATATTGTGAAGCCTCTGATCTCGTTCTGGGCTAAAATTGATTTTTTTTTTTTTTTTTTGCTTCTCCATGAACATCAGGAGAAACTTTTGTATGTTATCTTTATTCCATGTTCTGACCCTCTATAAAGCAGAAATCAATTATTCTGTGGTAGGCAATATGTTCCTCCTCCAGCAGGGCTTCCTGATGGCTGCCCATTTGAATTGGATGCACTCACCCCAAGTCATTCCCTAAAATTAAAAAATAATGGTTTTATCTTACTATCAAGATGTACATGTGAGGGGAGTACCTTGAAATCTCCCCAGAAAGCATAGTGAAGATGGTCTACTCAGGATTGCAAATTGGGACTGTTAAGGTATGGTGGGGGACTTGAGCAAGACAAGTGTACAGTTGGAGGGGAGGTAGCCGGTTGTTTAAAAAGAGGCTATGATGAAACATATTGCTGTATCTGGATAGAGGTCCTGATTGAATCTGCAGTGCTTGGTTTGCCTTTCAGCTAGCACATAAGTCCCTGATGGGGTCAGACAGCCTCAACAACAGGGCATTTGAGTGCATAAGCAGGCTCAAATCTGGAATTCCTCTTGCATTCTAAAAACAGCATAATACTAAGCCCATTCTAAGCAGTTGGGGATGGTACTTTAAAATTTGCTATTTAATTAATTAGGCTGGTTTCTGGCCAGTTTATACTCTTAACAGTGTAGCCATTGCAATCCTTTGCTTTTAGTAGCATAAAAAAGGAAAACACAGTGATAGAAGTCTTTTTTGTCATAAATAATTTGTCCCATTCTCTCGCTATCTAGAAGCTTGTGTTTTCTTCCTGTCTGGTATGCTATTTTGTGTTTAGATGTGTGTTCATGCTCCTTTTTTGGCTCCCTTACAGCATCTTAGAGACAGTCTAATGAACAGTTCTCTTTTCTACTCATCCCTGAAATAGGCAAGTGGGTTTGGAAATAAAGAACACAACAAACATAGAAGAGCAAGGATGTTCCATGCTTTGACTACCTTACAAACTACAAGACTACCTTACAAACTTTTAATATTTTTTAAAAAGTCTTACCACTTTCTAACAATTGTGTGTGGTAGTTTGTGCAGCATTAGATTAGGACTGTCAGATGTAGGCTTCTTACAAACCTTTCCCAAAGATAGATGATGAAAATAGTTGAGCAGAAGATTGTCAGCAAAGAAATTGTGGCAACACAGTTCAACTGGATTTTCCTATATTATTGCTTAGGATTAAATAAATGTATTGCTGTGCTTAATAAATTTGTTCTTAAGACTTTGGAGGTCCCAAGGCAGATAATGATTAAAAACACATGTTTATAAGGCTGTTAAAAATTACAAATATTTCAGACATTAAAATCTCATTTATCTCACTTTAATTAAGCACTTACACCTGAAAGCTGTCTAAGTAAATTTTATAGCACTTGTAGGTCCTCAGGTTTGTATGTTAGTGGAACTTCAGGTTAATTAAGTACCTCACTTATTAGCAGTCTCAGCATGTGTGTGTGTGCTGTACTTGGCTAGCGAATTATGTTGTGAGTAGAATGTCCTTCAGGATCAAACATCAAAAGTAACACTTTTGTAATTTTATATCAGAAAGGCTGCAGTAGTCTTAAGTGATTTTTAAGAGCAGCTGAGGCAAAATTGTTGAAGTATGATTCTTGTACAAAAATTGAAGAAGAAAGCAATGGAAAAAAGTCTACCAATATTGTCTGCCTTTGCCTGCTGTCTTTGGGATCAGTTAAATATTTGAATTTTACGGGGTCAGTCCTGCACAACTTGCCCAATTTTCTTGGCAACAATTAGTTTTCAGCCCAAAGACCCTATAAAGAGAAAAGTTTATAACCTCCTAAAGCCTGTGCACAAGTTAATAAATATAAACAAGGATATTGTTTTGAATCATTGTATGTAATTCATTCTTAACTAAATGTACTAAGTCTGTTTAAACATATTCTAAAGAATAGATATTCTAGACTTATTTTTATATCACACATCACTTATTTTCTTTGTTTAAAATACAAATATTTTTCCTCAACTCAAATATGCATATAAGTTATAAAACATATGCCAGAAAAAATATTAAAATATGTTTTTACATATAATTCATGGCAGTAGCTTTTAAAACTTTGGTGTTTCTTGGAGGCTAGAAGCTAATATGAAAAAGTGAAATGAAATAAAGTATTGATATGAATAGAAGGATAGGAATTCATATACAATTATAGGTTATAAGTATGTTAGCATATTCAGAAATGATTGGTGTTATCGCTAATATAAGTGCAAATTGGGGCACTTTTTTTACCAAGTCAGGGTATAATCTATTTTTAGAGCAATGTGACATTTTATTCATGAAGCCTGTAACTATGGTGATGTCCTTGTCATATATTTTGAATATCAGGTTTTTACAATATACTAAAAAATTAAAATAGAAAACTTTCAGGGGACTTGCCAAGGCTATTGAAAGGCATCCCAGATAAGAGATCTCAACACTTTTAAAGAAATTACAGTCTGCCTTTTTTGTATTCCTAAACATTTGTCAAGCTATTTAGTAAAACTGGCTTATTCTAAATTAGAATAAACCACTTTTACTAAACTAGAGCTCGATATTACCTATACTCTGGACTTCTTTCTGGCAGAAATGGTGGTGGTTTTTTTCTTGAAGTATGTTGAAATATAGAAACCAATCTTAATATATTCAAAGTATACAGTTTTCCTCAATGATATGAGTCAGGATTCTTAGATTGGAGGGTAAATGGCAGCTGAAAATGCTAGTTTCTTATTTGGTTGTCTGTCAAAATATGTTCACATTTAGAATCTTATGCAGAGCAATCAAGTTATTGAATATGCTAAATTTATTGTCAGTCCCTGGGGGAAGGATATAAATAGATTTACTTAGTTAAAGTTGAATTTCACTGAGATTAGCATGGGAAGGCTCATTCTTAGCAAATTTGCTGATACATGAGGATATCTGCAGAGCATTATTGGTAAAAGCATCAGCCACTGTGTGCATGGAAATAACTTTTTCTTGGAGCTATTTTTGTGTTTGGTTTGGTTTGGGTTTTTTTAACAGTAGCCTTCCTGTCACCCTGAAGGATGCTATATTCAAAGCATTTCCACCTATCTCTGCATCTGTTTTTCTGCTTTATTTCTGTTATGTATACTTGAAATAATTTGGATAAAGGTTTCACCAGGGCCTCTTCTGATTTTCTTGCTTCTGCCTTTTCTTCATCTTTCTTGACCTGTTGAAGTAGAATAACAAAAAGATGGTAAGTGAGGCGCCCCTGTGCAATCATCCACTCTTTTGCTTCATGGGACTTGTAGCCTTTCTCTCTTTCTCTCTCTCTTTGTGTGCTTTTTTCCCCTTGTCCTGTCTACTTTTATGTTTTGAATACATTCCTGTTTTAATCCTTCTTCATCATTTTGATTTGGTAGCTAGTACATCAAATTCTTGTAGATATTTGTAGTTAACTGCAGATGCAAGGCATCTACAGGTCTGTATGTGTTTAGTACCTATGCTAGAAACCACTTATTGAACTCAACAAAAATGAAACATACAGAAAATGCCCCATATTACTTACTGTATGGGCAAGACCTATTCTGTGGGATCATTAGAACAAGTAGGGTAGTTCACACATAGAAACTAGCCTTTCTTTTTTTGTCATAAAGTCTTCTATTGTAATCTTCATGCCTAGATCATATCAGGGTTTCACGTTAGTGAAATAGGTATATTTATTCATAAATGAATTTATTAGTGCAATGTCAGTGACAGACCAGTTCCTTAAAACGTAGCTATCAAAATTACAGTTTTGTGTAAAAACAAAAGTAAACATGCATGTACTTTTCTATAAAGTCCTATTTCCAAAGATGACCAGAAATTCTTATAAGAGGATTGGAAAAGCAGTTGGCTTATGTGTGTGAACCTACCCTAAGTATGTTCTATATTGTTATGTTCCCACGTAGGTGATTCTTACACCTTTTTAAATTGAATGCACAATTCAGTAAAGTTTTCTTCATGCTTCTGAAATTCAGTTTTAAGCAAATCATGTCTGAAGCATGCACTAAAAGCTTGTGTTAAGTGAACGAGTGTTGTATATGGTGAAACATTAATATATTAAAGCAGTGTTATAGAACTAGTGCAGTGATGATGAACATTTTTGAGTCCAATATGGTTTATTTTTGAAACATAAGCAATTTTGCTTGAATTCATGAATGATTTTTAACAGGCTGTTTAGTTACGACTAAAATGAAGCTTAAATCTATTATAGTGTGAATTGTCTTGAATTAGAAAGGGCTGTATTCCACATTTTTACAATAAACTAATTGTTACAGTCCTGTTAAAAAGAGTTCATTTGGCTTGAACAGCCCTAAGTAAACTACATTGCTAAAAGCTAATTGACAGTTCTGTGTATCATCAGTCTTTAGGATTACCACAATGACTCAGACATTGTGTTGTTTAGTCACTGAAGGTTAGTTCTTTATTTTTTGTTAGAAAATATTTGATGAATAGCAAGCAATCCTGTTTGCAGCTCCATTTATGGGGAATATTAACTTCAAAGCCTGAAGCCAAATTTAACATTCTTCCTTTTTAAATATGTTTCTTTTTAATATCATATTAATTAGGATAATGATGGGATGGGACATAGACTTAAAAATAATCTTGTATTCTTGTATTACAAAAAAAAAAAAAGAAAAGCCAATGGGGCTTCATTATTTTACAGAACAAAGTATTTTGTGTAATTTTTATGATAATGACAGGACACCTGAATGATTTTAAAAGTATTTAAATTAAGGTTTAGGAGTGAAGTTCATATTTTTGTGCAGGAGAACAGTAACCCAGGTTTGGAATAAATGGCTCTCAGAAGTCAATTTGTTGCTGTAGACTAATATAAAACATCCATTTTTTTTCCTAATCAGTGTGAAATTTGCAGTCCCTTATTTGCTTTTGCTACTTGTTCTCTATGCTTATGCAGCACTCGTTATTCCCATTTAGTAATGTGCACAGAAACATGAAACATGCATGGAAAATTTATTCTGCTAAATTCACCTATTCTTCTTGTGTAGATTTTCAAGATCTTATGTATGTATTTATGATAAAGTAATGTCAAAGGTAGGAAACTTTAGGATCCCTAATATCCCTGAGGCTTCAATGGTAGTTGGTATATAATGTTAACATTATTTAAAATCAGTCTCAGGTGACATAAACTTATCTGCATGAAAATGAACCAAATCCATGAAATGTATATGCACATAACTATTTAAAGAGTGGGAGGTGTTGTATTTTTTCATTATTAATGTCTTTCTATGCTTTTCAGTTGAGTATATACAGTAAATCAATTTCTCCCCCTCAAATATTGTATCATAAAGGATAACTAGAAAAGCCATTTCTTTTTTATGGGTTCTTTTTTTAAAAAAAGGATTCAATAAAAGTTTCTAGAAAATAACAAGTTATTAGTATCCATTTGCAACTTGTAGGATCTTATGGTTGGTGATGAAGCAAGTGAGCTGAGATCAATGCTGGAAGTTAATTACCCCATGGAGAATGGCATTGTCCGAAACTGGGATGATATGAAACATCTTTGGGACTACACCTTTGGACCAGAAAAACTCAACATCGATACAAAAAACTGTAAAATACTTCTGACAGAACCTCCTATGAATCCAACAAAGAACAGAGAAAAGATTGTGGAGGTAGGTGCCTTTTTTTTTTTTAACATCATGCTATCCAACCTGGAATCAGTTTTTCCAAATGGAAAGCAGCACTACTCAGCTTACTCATTGTTCTTTAGGATAATTTTTATTTAGTTTTGATGAATAAGAACCAAGTTGACATTTTATCCAAGATCAGATTAGATCTGTATTCAGAAACTATTGAAAAAAAGCAGTAGAAATAAGGTTCCATAGAATGCTTTTTCAGTGAAGTTATCTATTTTATTTTTTTCTAAAATAAAAGCCATTTTACAATACTTGCAAATATTTTAATTCTGTTAAAACATATAAGTGGACATTCTGATAATCAGAGACATGATCCAGTTCATACTGTTAGTGCTTTGAAATCCTGAGTACTTATAATACTGCTTTGCACAGTAAACAGTTAAATTGAGAAAGGGAAAGAACCAAGTAAGGTTTAACACAGAGATTACATGATAAACTTCCCTCTTAAAAAGAGAACTTGAAAGAAAAGCACATCAAATTTTGTAGGCTTACTTCCAAATAAATAAGCAATACTCTGTGATCGGATGTTCCACTCAAAAACTGGAAGTTGAACATTCTCCTGGCTCAACTGAGAACTGTGCTTGAGATTCTTACTCACTAATTCTTACTTAAAGGAGAAGATCCTACCAGCAAATGAAATGTCCCCTCATTGCTACATGTGTATTATACAGGTGAAATGTGATCATTTTTATTAATGCAGGGAATGTAGAAAAACAACTGGTTGGAAGTATAGCTTATGGCAATGAAGCATTTTTACTTATGTTATTCTAAGTATATATCTTCAGGATCACATCACAACACTGAATGTGTTTAAGAGCACGATACTTTTGGCTTCAGAAATAAATGGCATATGATGATGTAAGTTAATCAAATATTAAATTTGCAGTAAGTTTAGTTATCTTTATTGATTCTGGTTTCCATTCACTTGTTATAGACTAAGATATATGTTGGAAGACAATACAATTTGACTATGATTATTCATTTTATAGAGTTTCAAAAAATAGTCACAGTTGGGTTTTATCAACTCCAGGAGAAAGAACTACACATTGACAATAGCTTCTGAATTTGCAGCTCGTAGGCAAATGGATTTTAGCAATAAAGCTGAAGAGAAGAATACTTCTGAAAGTACTTAGAGCTTTATAGCCAGAATAAATAAAATTATTGTCTTGATAGAATTATTGCATTAGCAGAACAGGAGGAAGTTTTTACCTCTTTCTCCTGAAATTACTACCTTGTACCCTCTCCAGAGGATTGGATGATGGTCAGGAACAGATTTCAAGGTCGAATGCACAGGTTGCTGCACGGGGGAGGAGAAAGTTCCATTTGGTGATTATATTTTTGCTTGTTTGATCTTGGATTTTGAGCAATACATTGTGCAGCCTAAATGAAATGAGGAATTTGGAATAGGTGCTTAAGCGTTGAGTAACATTTTGACACATGTTGTACTCCTATATCAGTATGTGGGCTACTACATTTTGTGCTAGTTGAAACTTTTGAAGAGTCTGTGAATGCATCTCTTTTATTAGTGGGGCAAAAAACACAAACAGTGGCTGCTGAATCTAGATCCATTTATGGTCCAATTTATCCTTGCCTGATCATATCAGAGGAAGCCAGTGCTTCGGTCTGAAGATATAGGAGTGTCTCAACTCAGTAGAACTGTATGGGGTGATGGAATACCACCTGTGGTATCCTGTTTCCACAGATGGCTAGGTTTACAAGCAAACTATACAGTAAAGAGTTTCAGAATGCTGGATAATGCAAAGTGGATATCAAGCTATTCTTGAACTTAGCCAAAAGGCCAAAAAGTAATGACCAATTTCTGACCTCTCAATACTGATGCAAAAGGCTACTTTCAAATTCATCCGCCCTAAGGGCAGTAACTATCCTGGCAGGAGTTAAATTATTTATAATCAAGATTATTAACCTTCTCCTCTATGGCACACAGCTCTGTGTCTGTATGAACACACCTGCATTGAAATTAATTCAGTCCAAATTTCTGAGATCCATGTTGTATGCTGTCCCTACCCCCTGTGGCTAGAGCTTGGTTGTGCCTCACTGGAGGCCCAAATGAGATCCTATTGGTTGAAATAATGGTTGAAACAAGTGTTTGAGGGCAAGTTGCTAGCCCAGATCATGCTGGCTGATAAATCTACCTACTCTTGGAAGAAACAAATACCTGCTGATTTAGCTCATGGTGGAATTTGTTTGTTTGTATGGATTTATATGGCTGCCAAATCCAACCAGTGTGTCTCTGGCTTCTTTAATTATTTCCATTACAACAAAAGTAATAAATAAGGAAAAAAATCATTAAAAAAATCCAGATTTGCAAAATGGCAAACTGAATAGAATAGATGAAAACAACTAACAAAGGAGTTAGCTAGGCCCAAATGCTTGGGGAAAAAAACAGGTCCTGACCACCTTTCTAATGGCCAACAGAGTTGGGGTCCATTGTATGTTGGGGGGAAGGTCATTCCAGAGAGCAGGCAGCCATTGAAAAGGCATGCTTCTCAGGTCCTATGAGATGGCAATATTTACATGAGGGAACCTTGCCCTCATGTAAATCTTGCCATCTCATAGGACCTAACAACCTTGCTTGATGACCTCTCTGTAGAAATGCATAGAGCAGGCAGATGTTCTTGGGAGCAGGCAGTCCCACAAGCAGTCCAGTCCTATGCCATATAGAGGTTTAAAGGTGATAACCAGAATCTTGAATTGCATCCAGAAGCCTGTTGTAAGTAATGATGTCACATGGGTGTAATGGGTTGTGTCCATAACTACCCATGCTATTGCATTCTGGATCAACTGAAGTGTCTGGATGGTCTACAAGGGCAGCTTCAGGCAGAGCACATTGCAGTAATCCAGTTGGAAGGTGATTAAAGCATGATTGACAGTGAACAAGGCCTCCCAGCCTAGGAATATCAACCCACACATTATTCCTGCTGAGTTTAGAAAAAGCCACAGCCAAGGTTAAACCAAAAGTATCTTATTTCAGTTTAGAAAACAAGGCTAAAGCATCATTTCAGTGCTGAATGTCGTATGCCATTGGTACTCCTATGTCATCTCTAAATATCCTTATTGTAAAAAAAATGTAGTTCCAGCCTTGGGAAGAGGGAACAGAACAATGTATGTTAAAGGAGAAGAAAAGAATGCTTAGTGCTGAAAAAAATGGAAAGTGTGAGAAAGAAACTCAAAATAACCCTGCCATGATTTTGTTTGGTATAAGATGGACAGAGAAATGCTTTGAAGATTCTGTTATTCTACCCTACAACAATAAAGAAAATTCCTGAAATCTTTGCTGCTCCCTGACCTTGCCTACCTCAAAGAACTGACAGTTATAATACTTGCTTAGACCTACACAGAAGGGCATGTACTTTGGCAAGATTTTATGCCCTACTCTTGAAGGTGATGAAAGGAAGATTTCATAACACCCTTTATCAGAATGCTTCTGCATATGCTCAGATGAGTGGTTGTATCAGTTGCACATGTTCTTATGAGCAGCTCCCATACCACACCTGGCACTTAGTGCTAATCTCCCCTTTTATCAGTATATGCTTAGCTGGTCCCAGTCAAAACTTGTGCTGTTCCTTTGAAATCATTAATCCACTGAAATGTGCATGAAAGTTGCCAAATGTTGTACCTTGAGAAGACATTGGGTTTATACCGGCTTATGAAGCTCAACAGGCCTTTTTTTTTTACTAGTACAGTGGTACCTCTGTTCACAAACTTAATTGGTCGTGACCTGAATCAAATTTTCCCATAAGGTTCAATATAAATACGGTTAATCCGT